TAATTCCTTTAGAGTATCTTTGATTGGTTCTTTTTCAGCTATCTTAGTCTTAATCTGAGGCTGATCTATATTGATATGACTATCCAGATTCATATCTGCTAAAATTTGCTCATTGACATTGTTAACTTCTAAGTTATTATTATTTTTAATATAAAGGTTATCTGCACTAAAGTCTTTTGGCTCGAAGGTTTGGTGCTTAGTGGTTTTGTTTTGAGATCTTTGTAATCTGCATGCTTTTTGCATAGCTCTGAGTTCTACTGAAGCTATATACTCAGTGCATTCTTTTTTGATGTGACCCACTTTGTCAGAAAAGTAGCATAGCTTTGAAGCCTCTCTCTAGTCTGTAACTACTTTGTGATCCCAAATGTGTGTATATCTGAGAATTCTATTTGCTAGGTCTGGGTCATCTGTAGTTTCAAAGATAACTACCCATTGGTCTGAAAGCACTGAGGTGCCTTTGTGTACCAGAGGTTTAATAGAGGAGATTGTGTCTACATCTTGAAAAGCTTCTTTGATTTTTTCAGAGATAAAATCTTTTTTACCCATTGGTGTATTCCTAATTCTTACTGAGAGAAAGCTTTGTCTAATATTAACAGAAATATAACCCTGAAGAGACTGCTTAAAGATTGAGATTCCTTCTGCTGCATAATACTGTTGCTGGTTTTCATCAGAAAAGATAACTTCTAAATGAGTTCTTCTGCCTTTGGTAACTACCGGTCTTACTGCTATAAGACTGTCACCTAATTTTTTTGCCATTGCTTCAACTATGTCTGATGTAGATATGTTTTCTAAATTTTGAGTTTCGAAAATTAAAGCATTTTCATTTTTAGTATAAATTCTTTTTCTAGGAGAAAAAGTAGAATAGGTGGCTTTTCCTCTTTCTAGCTTAGAAAAAAGATCAGACCATTGCCTTGGTTTTGATTGGTTGGTTGTTATTTCTGATTGAGATGTAACTGGGTTGCTATTATGGGACACATGTCTGGTTTGTTTTGTTACCTCTGTGTACGTGTTGTCAGCAGGTGTAAACAATGCATCATCATCATTTTTTTCAAGATTAATATTTTCTTTGTTTAGTGCTTCGCTGACTTTTGAGTCTGTTACTATCTGTGCTTTTTGTGTTGATAAAGCTTTTGATTCTTTGCTGTTTAAGACTTGAGCTTCAGTTTGTTCTAATAAGCTCTTAGAAGGGCCTAAGCTTAAACTAGTTTCTTCTTCATAAGTGTTAGAAGTTCTTATTTTCTTGTAGAACACAGTCATTTCAGATAACTTAGTAATGGAGAAGTGTAGCATGTTAGTACGTAAATACTTTCTTATCTTTGGCACAAGAGATTTAGCTCTTGTGGTATAGTTTCTAGTAGATTTTAATAAAGGTTTAATTGTTTTTGTTTATTTTTTTCCTCCACTACTAAACATGAGTGAAGAGAGAGAGAGAGAGAGTTGTCCTTACTATTTTGATGATTACTATTTGGAACATTAATTTCTGAGTGGGCTGCCTGGGATTTCCTTTGTTTATATTTTGCAAATAAATATTTTGTTGACTTTTTACCTTGTTCTATCCATTGCACTTTGGAATGGATATGCCATTTTTCTGCCAAAGCTGTTAACTCCTCTTGTAGCTATATGTTAAGCTCATCTAAAGATGAAAACAAGCTTTCTGTATTGAAGGAGCCAGCTATTTTTTCACTTAACTTTGTTATTTCATTGTTAGGCTTTGATATTTTGCTTTCTGTTGTTTTTGGCTTTCTAAATGCTCTTATAATCGATTGTATGTAGACCTTGCAAAGATCCCAATCCTCTGTTGCATTTGGTTCACTAATTTCCTCTAAGACCTCTTTTTTAAGCTTATTATTATTGAACATGGTTTTATCAAAGTGCCAATTAGATGGTTGTTTTCGTTTCCAGTTGGAGTTAAGTGAACAACTAATTAGGAGATGGTCCAAGTTACCAAAATGCATAGTAACCTTAGAGACTAAGTGTAATTGATTTTTATTAATAAATATGTAGACTAAACATGTTGCCATCATGTTACCACCTTGTGTTTTTTGGTGAAATATGAGAAAAGGCTTAGAGCCTGCAATTTCTGCAGTGTTTGAAAAATTTCTTGTTAAATCTAACAGTTGGTTCCTGAATGGGTCTGGCTGAGGTACTGCTTGACTTATTCTGTTTGCTTCAGGTTTTAGGTTTATATTAAAGTCTTCTGCTATAATGTTTATTGCATTTTCTTTTATTTGAGAAGTCCAGTTGTCAAAAAATGTTACTCTGTTGCTAATATTCAGAGGTGTATACACATTAGTAATATGAAATAAGAGACCTTTGTAGACAAATGATGCTGTAATAACTTATCCATTATTGTTTACTTTCATATTTTTAAAGGTAATGTTTCTGTTTTCAGCCAAAATTGCCACTTTGTCTGACCAGAATGATTCAAATATCCATTGATGTTTTAAAAAGTTTCTAGTGTTTTTGTTGTTGAGATTGGTTTCTTGTATCATTATTAAATCTAAATTGTAGGATTTTAAGAGTGTTAATGTTTTTTGCTGTTTGCCTAGTCCTTTTACATTCAAAGTTGCAATTTTAAGTTTGAATTTTGGAGGCATATAAATGTACAAAAATTTTGACCAATTAGGTCTGTGAGAGCAGTCTCTCATTATGTTGTTTCCTGTAAGGGCTAGGCCTTAATTGGTTCTTATCCTGTAAGCTTTTTCCTTTTTTATCTTCATCTTTTTTACAAAATGGCATAGGGGTCTCCTCATTGTCAACTTCCATTATAGGTGATGTTTCTTCTGTATTTTTGTTTTCTGACTGTAGTTCTGCATTAAGATACAGTACAGCCAGTTCATTACGTGGTGCTGATATTGGGTCAGGTAAGAGGTCCTTATCTTTACTTGGTGTAGAGTTTCTTATCATTGTCTATTTCTATTGAAGGTGACAAAGGCCCCTTTTGTTCATCTTGTATTAAATTATTTTCTTGTAAGCCCACACCATCTGTGATAGATGCATTGTCTTGCAATTATGAGTTTTCTTCTTTGTTAGCAGAACTACCTGCATGGGGTTCTTGTTTTGGCCTGATATTAGCTAATTTTTCTTTGCTGTATGATCCAATTCTTTTTTTAAAGTCTTGATATTGTTGGCGAAGGGCTACAGATTCCTGGAATAGCTGGCATTCCTTTTTAATATAACCTTCTTTTTCACAGAAGTAGCATACTTTTGCTGCTGTCTTCCATTCTGTTATGACCTTGTTATCCCAAATATGGGTAAATCTTGGTATTTTACCTTCTAAAAATGAATTCTCTATGGTCTTAAAGATTATAACCCACTGATCTGTTAGGTATAGTGTACCTTTAATTAATAGGGGTTTAATTGATGCTATTTTACCTATATTCTCAAAAGCATCTTTAATTGAGTCTGACAGTTCTTTTTTGTTGCCTAGTGAGACATTCCTAATTTTGACTAGCAAGAAAGATTTTCTCATATTTATTGGAACATATCCAAAATATGTTCTGTTGAAAATTTTAACATCTTTTGTTGCATAGATCTTTAGTTTTTCTTTGTCTATGAAGATAATTTCTAAATGTGATCATGTTTCTTTAGTAAGATGTTGTTTAGCTGCAATAATGTTATTTTTAGCTGTTTTGAATAAAGATGACATAATTTCATTAAAAGAGCATTGTAGGCTTTGTATATCAATAATGAGAGTATTTTCATTCTTTGATTTGATTGTGTTCCTAGGAGAAAAGGATGAGTAAGTTAACTGGCCTCTTTTAAGTTTAAGAAAGAGACTTGACCATTTTTTTGTTAGTAGTTCAGTTATTCTACTGGAGCTAGAAGTTGTATTTCTTTCCAAAGTGGAGTCCTCTTGTTCATCCATTGGTTCATTTTGAGTTGTTGTTTCCATGTTGTTTTTGTTACCTGTATTAGTCTCAGAGACCTCTTTGTCATGTGTTGTTGTTTGGATGTTATCTTCATTACATGTATTAGTTTCAAAGACCTCTTTATTTTCTCTTTTGTTATGTATGTTCTATTTTCTTTAAGTTCTTCTTTCTATGTATTTGTTATTTCCTTGAGTTCCTTAGTTTTTTGAGCCACTTGTTCATCCTAGCTAGGGTTGCTTTTGTTGATATATTCTAGTGAACCTGAGTTATTGCCTTCTACTTGTATAGGCTTTTCATTTTTGGTGTTTTTCTTATCAGCATTTGTTGTTGTTTTTCATTTTTTTGCCATAGTGCCAAAGCTTTTTGTACTGTTAAAAGCTTTAAAAGATCTTTTTCTTGTAACAAGGGCAAGTGCCCTTGCTTTGAAACCTTTTTTAAGATTGGTTGTCTTGTTGTTGTAGTTTATTTTCCTGTTTAATTTCATTCCACTTCCAAACATGTATGGTTTGAAAAGAGTGTATGCAGATTCTTTGTTAAAGTTATGTTTAAGAAAATATCTACTGTAGTAACATATTTTGGAAAAGAAAATATTTTGTAAATATGGATTTTATAAACTTGCGAATTATAACAGCTGTATCTACTTTAAAGCTTTTAGTGCATGATTATAAGTATATAAAATGTTTGGATTTTTGTGTAATTTGGTAATTGAGTTATTGATTACAATTTTGGTTTTTGTTATATTTGGATTGTTGGAAAGATAGTAGCTTTCCTATACTTGTTGTTTCAGGTCTTCATTAAATTCTCAAGCATTATGTATATTAATTGATAAGCAAAGTTGGTTATTACTGAACTGTGTTTCAGGAATGTTGGAGTTTGAAGAATAGTAACTATTATAATTTAATGTTATTTGATTTTAAGATGTTAGAATAGGCAAATGTTCATAGGATTTGTATCAAATAGAGTTTATAGCTATATGAATAGGAATAGTAGAATTGGTATAAGTGTTTAATGAAATTCTTAAGTACTCCTCTAAAAAAAAAAAACTCTTTTCTGTTCTTCATTTTTCCATAAATGGAGAATATTTGATTTACAAAATCATCAAAAACTTTCAAAACTCAGGTTCAAAATATGTAACAAGGGCTAAAACCCTTGTACCTAGAAAGCAAAAACTAGTTGGTACAATTATGTCTAGTATTTCAGCAAGCAAGCAGTGTAAACAGAAAAGTCAAGAAAGCTGATTAGATTCTTGCACCATGAGACTAGAATAATGCCAGAGTTTAGAGTTTTATTAAAGATCTTCTTCAAAACTGGTGCCACTGCTTCTTCTGTGAGTTTGTAGAATTTATAAGTTAAGCTATTTATTCTAGGAGACTTGTTATTTGGTAGGTTTCATATAACTTCTATTATTTCTTCTTGTTTAATTCTTTTGACTAGGTCTTTGTTGGATTCATGTTTTACTTGTAGAAGGTTTTCTGTGATTTCTTCTGATGCTTTCTTGTCAAACTCTTTTGCTTTGTAGGTTTTTGCATATTGTTCTTTAACATACTGTAAAATGTCCTTACTATTTTGATGCTTATTATTTGGAATTTTAATTTTTTTTTTTTTTTTTTTAACCACAAATTGGCATACTTTATTTAATAGATTACAATTACATTATTATCAAACTAATTATTACTATCTATTTACAGTTAGAGTTAAAAACCTAGTTATTTTGGCTTTTGTCTTACTCTTAGAAGTTTTATCTAATACTCTTAAGCTTTTACTGATCTTGGCTTTAGTAATGTTCTTTATGGCTTCTTCTGAGATAATGTTGTTTCCCCATCTGGCTTTAGTGTACCATAACCATATTTCATATATTATTGTAATATGAAGCCAAAGTGCTGCTTTTCTTTTCTCTGAATCTTTAATATTCGAAGCCTTTAAAATTTCTTCCATTGACTAAGGATGTATTTCTTCTGTTTCTGTTTGAAGAAAGGTATATCCCTCTTTTCAGAAAATTTGACTAATTCGACAATCTATAGCAAAATGGCTTGGAGTTTGTTTCTGATTTGTACAGTTTAGACAGTTTTCATCAATTTCTTTGTTAATGTGCATAAGGTGATATCCTAGTGGTAGTGCATTGTTTTGAAGTCTCCAGAAAATATCTTTCTTTTTGTTGAGCAATCCTTTACACTGGAACCAGCTAGGAACTCTTTCAGAATCTTTTGGTAGATATGGTGAAATTTGTGTTGTAGTAGGTCTTATGGAACATTGTTTTAAAAACTCAGTGGCTCTTTGTACTGAAAATTGGTTTCCAGGAGTATTACAGACTTTTAGTTGTGAAGCAT